ACAGCGTCCAGGCAGCCTCGGCCGATAGGCCCGCGGAGCGGAGTGCGGCCAGCTTGTCGGCGAACGCGTTGGTTTTGGCCACAGCTGCGGCCCCGTCGGTACCAGCGTGTAGGCGGACCCGCTCCTCCTCCTGCTCGAGCCACGGGGCAGCGTTCCCGAGGCATTTCAAGTGGGGCACCCGGTGGTGGGTCAGCTCAGGCGGGAGAGCCGCGTCGGCATCCTTGGTTCAAACTTGCGTCTTGCCCTGGTCGACCGAGAGGCCGCTTCGCGTCAGGGCGTCAGCCACGACGGCGACGGCGGCGGAGGCGTGTTCCGGCGGGGCGAACACCATCACGTCGTCCAGGTAGCTGAAGACTTTGCAGGCAGGTGAGAGCAGCTGAAGCGCGTCGTGGATTTCGTCTAAAGCGCCGGCGATTGCCACAGCGAAAAGCGCGGGGGACAGCGGGCAGCCTTGGTCAACCCCGCGGGTGGCCCGCACGGGCGCGGCCTTGTCCTCGCTGCCCCAGAAGAGGTGCGTAGTGGAGCCAAGCGACGCCCGCGCCGTTGGCAGAAGGTCCGGGGCCCGCCGTGCCACGCCGTCTAAAATCCGCTGCCGCGGGACAGAATTGAAAGCGTTGGTGGCGTCAAACGCGAGGACCACTCCCTGCGGGAACGCTTCGGTGAGGGCCGCCAGCGTCTTGTGGACGACCTCGCATCCCGCCCGCGTGCCCACGGCGTACTGGAATCGCCCGCAGCCGCGCTCGATCCCCTCGCCGAAGATTTCGCACGCTGCGCGGCCAGCAAGCCGCCGGAGGACGCACCCGCAAGCGATTGGGCGGAGCCCCCCGTTGGGCTTGCGAAGGGCAATGAGGCGCGCCCCGAGGTTCGCCGCCATCGCCTCCTCGCTGAGTTGCCCGAACAGAAAAAGGACGACGACTTTGGCGCAGGCCTCCCGGGCGGCGCCGTCGCAGAGCAGAGCGCGCCAGTGTTCGAATCGGGAACCATTCGGGCCGTGCCCGGAGCGCCGGGGGCTACGTCCGATGTGCCTGGAGACGGAGGCCGTGAGCCTTTGCAGCGTGTCCTGGTCTGGTGCCTGCGGCTCTTGTCCGTTCAGCACTGCCGGGGTGCCCTCTGGGAACAGTCGCTGTAGGGCTGCGTGGACGCCGTCGCCCGTGGCCGTGGCGGCGGGGCGGGTGGCGCTGGCCATGGCTTTACTAACCAAGTTTTCCCGGAACAGCGTTTCCACCCGTTTTGCCTGCTGCTCGGCCGTGGCCTGGCGTTCGGGGAGGGCGGCGCGCCGGGCGCCAGAGGAGGCGGCGATTCGCCAGAGGGCGGCCCAGTCGCCCCGTTCGGCCAGGCGCAGCCTCCTGGTGAGCTCCTGGCTAAGCCCTCTGCCTTTCACGGTCTTGCCTCCGCGTTGCCTTTCACGGTCCTCCTCCTCCTCCTCCTCCTCCTCCTCCTCCTCCTCCTCCTCCTCCGCCTCCTCCGCCTCCTCCGCCTCCTCCGCCTCCTCCGCCTCCCCTTCCTCCCCCTCCTCTTCCTCATCTTCCTCCCTCCTCCCTCCACCCTCCTCCCCCCTCCTCCTACTCCCCTCGTCCTCATCTCCGCCTCGCATCCTCTTCCTCCTCCTCTCCCCATCCACCTCCCCCTCCCCCTTCCTCCTCCTCCCTCATCCTCCTCCCTCCTCCTCTCCTCCTCCCTCCCTCCTCCCCTCCGCCTCCTCCCTCCTCCTCCTCACTCCTACCTCCCCTCTCCTCCTCCTTTCCCGCCTCTGCTCCGCCTTCCTCCTCCTCCTCCATCCTCCTCTCCTCCTCCTCCTCCTCCTCACTCCTCCTCCTCCTCCTCCTCCTCCTCCTCCTCCTCCTCCTCCTGATCTTCGCCATCCTCCCCCAAGTGTTTCCCGAATAGTTTTCACAATGGCTGGGTGAACACATGGTCCGATAGTTTGGCAGAGCTCTTGCCACAACGCTCGGCCACATGGGCGATTCCAAAAGGCAGGGGGCGGCGGTAATCCCACCAGCCCTCTGGGCGTCGGTGGTTTTAGAGCGTTTCCTCTTCCACCCCTCCTTCTTTCCCTTCGGGGAAGGGTTTATCCCTCCCCCTACCCCCTCCCCTGGACCTGGACGGGGGGGGGTCGCGAGGTGACAGGGCGTCTAAAACGGCATTGGCGAGGAAGCCAAAATCATTGGTTTCACTAAGGTGTTTGGCCCCATTTAGGCCTCTTGGGGGGGGGGACGCTAATTTAACACACACACACACACACACACACCCCTCGTGTTTGATCGATCTCCTCCAAGATGGCCCCAAGAAGCGCCCAGGAGGCCCCAAGAGGTCCCAAGATGGCCCCGAGATGGCCCCAAGAGACCCCAAGAGGCCCCCAGGAGGCCCCCACAAGGATCCCAAGCGGCCCCAAGTGGCTCCCCCGAGGCACCCAAGACCCCGAAGAGCCCGCCCAGGAGGCCCCAAGAGGTGCCAAGATGGCCCCGAGATGGCCCCAAGAGGCCCCCAGGAGGCCCCCAAGAAGACCCCAAGCGGCCCCAACAGGCCCCCCCGAGGCACCCAAGACCCCGAAGAGCCCCCCAGGATCGCGAAGAGACCCCCAAGACGTCCCAAGAGGCCACCAAGAATCGCCCAAGAGATACTCCAAGAGGCTCCGAGGGGCATCCAAGAGACCTCTGGCCCTTGTGCTTGCCCTCCTCCTCCTCCTGTTCCTCCTTCCTCCTCCTACTCCTTCTCTTCCTCCTCCTCCTCCTCCTCCTCCTCCGCTTCCTCCTCATCCTATTCATCCTCCTTCTTCCCACTCCCTCATCCATCCATCCATCCATCCACCTCCTCCTTCTCCTCCTCACTCCTTTGCACGGTTCGGCCCTCCCCCTCTTTGCTGCCACACTTCCCTGATCACCTCAACTCGCCTGCACATCGTTTCTGGATGGGCTGGTGGGGATACACGAAGCATCTAGAAGTCGCAAAAGAAGGATTCGGTCCATCTGCTTATATCTATATATATATATATATGTATGGATGTACCTGATTCTGGAGTGAGGGAGAGGAAACGCGACGGCAAAGCTTCACGCGACTCGGCCTCGACCGCTGTGCGAATCAAAAGGTAGCCATAGCATACGTAAGTGTATGCGTATGCCGTCTTTGTTCTTCGAGCTCGGCGGCTGTCACAGGGGTTGTCAACCAAGGGGAGGCAGGACACGACTTCGCTGGGGAGCCTTGTCGAAGACACATGGGCGATTGGAGCCATCGGATACATGTACCCAGACATGCAAGGTCTTTATTTGGTCAACACGCGGCTCCCAGAAATCGCAACCCGCTCCCCAAGGCAAATGTTCCATCCCAAGTCGCTGTTTGTTGACGGTCCTGGGGGCCAGAAGCGGCCAAAGATCTTCCGTGGTGACTTGGTTCACGACGCGAGCATGTCTGGGCAACGATCCCCCGTGAGCTATCCGCCCCGACCACAAGCGGAGCAAGACGAGCGCTAGAGGAGCTGCTGCCGAAGGGCGCAAGAGGAGCTGTCGGAGGGGCCCTGTGGTCGCCCACGGCGTGCTGCGCCGCCAGGTCCTCGAATTGCTGGCGGCCCCCGTACTGCCCTTGAACGGCGGGGGGCCGCGGAGGGGCGGAGGGGCGGGCTGGCGACGCACCCGGGGGAGGGAGGCAGAAAGGGCGGGCCATCTCAGAGGCGACGGCGGAGACGCATGTGGGCACCGCCACTGGGGCTTTGGGCGGAGCTCCCTATGGGGCCACGAAACGTGTGAAGGGCGTGCCGAAACGCCATGCGAACCCTGCCACTGGGGCCTTCGGTGGAATTACCTATGGGAACCACGAAACGTGTGAGAGATCCGTAATGGGCGATGCCCGTGATAATGAAAACGATGATGATGATGATGATGATGATGATGATGATGATGATGATGATGATGATGATGATGATGATGATGATGATGATGATGATGATGATGATGACGGTGGTGATGATGATGATGATGATGATGATGATGATGACGGTGGTGATGATGATGATGATGATGCTGATGATGATGATAACGATGATGTTGATGATGATAATGAAAATGATAATGATGATGATAATGATGATGATGATAATGGTGCTGATGCTGATGATGATGCTGGTGATAATGATGATGCTGATGATGGCGCTGATGCTGATGATGATGACGACAATAATGATATGCTGATGGTGATGATGCTGATGATGATGAGTATGATGGTGCTGATGATGATGATGATGCTGATGGTGGTGATGATGTTGATGATGATGATGGTGGTGGTGATTGTGATCATCATGATCATGGTGACGATGCTGGTGATGATGATGATAATGATGATGATGAGATGAGATGAGTGGAGATGAAATTGGATGAGATGATATGAGATGAGATGGGATGAGATGATGATGGTGGTGATGAAGATGATGATGTTGGTGGTGATGTTGATGACGGTGATGGGAGGAGAGAGGAGGAAGGAGGAAGGAGGGAGAGGAGGAGGAGAGGAGGAGGAAGGAACGCGGGGCGCTGTCTTCAAAACTAGGACCCAACACCACATGATAGTTGGGAAAAATCAAGATCGAGACAGACACTCAGATTTCCAACGTGTTGGAAAAGACAAGACGGAGGTGTTTCACCAGCTTCGGTCTCTAGAGGCCTTCGCCAGGCCCCGGACGGTCAAAAACGACTCAGGATAAAAAGCCCGTTCCCCGGGAGAGGGCCGAGCCTTCCGCGAACTCCGTATTGAAAAAACGCGGCCGCGAGCCTCCGGGCACACACGGGGCCTCAGGGGTCACCAAAGGAGCCGGTGGACGGTCGCAAAACATATGCGAGGCTCAAGAAGTCATCAGACAGACGAGCGGGAGCAAGGGGGCTCGGGGATGCTCGGACGCTCAGGATGCAAGTAGAAAGGATGGAGAGGGAAGGGGGAAGCAGCGATCAAGAAGGCGGGAAGCAGTGCGGGACAGTGCGGCTAAAGAGTCAGCGAATTTAAAAGAAACTGGCGAAGACGACGAAGAAAAGATGCAGGGCACTCTTCCGACACTGTTCAGAGCGCGACCTCTCAAAGGACGGAGAAGGGCGGGAAGAGTGCGGAGGGTGGAGGGAGGACGGAAGGGAGGAGGGGAGGAGCCAGCGGAGAGGAAAACAGGGCAATAATCCCGAAACACGGGCTGCACGGGGGGGGCAGGAGATAAAAACGGGCCAGGGGGGGAGACGGAACCCACAGAGCAGCACGTATTGGGTGAAAGAATCGGAGGACGACGGGCAGGCGTGGGAAAGAAGAAGGCGAGCACCCGTGCGGAATGCACATGAAGCTGCACAGACGCACACAGAACGAGATCGGTTATAGCTCTCCTAGTTCTACTTGGCCAGCCCTAGCAGACCGCATCACCAGGGCAGGATCAGCCAGCATCGGATGGCCAAGAAATCGAAATCGGACTGCCTCGAGACGGGCAAACTCGGCATCGAACCAGAACGATCGAACCAGAATACCCTGCCAGGGCGAACGGGGAGCAAAGGATCACCGAAGAAGAAGCCTGTAGGGATACCACCACTGATGGACCTCTGCGTGAGGGTGGCCAGCTCAGGGGCAGAAGCATCGAGCTTGAATCGGCGATACACCGCCGATAGATCGGCGACAGGCCCTCGATGGCGAACCCGCACGTTTCTGGGCGGGGTGGGCTATCAGGCCCCCATTGGCGATGAGATGGGCGAATGGGGATCGATGCGTCCCCCCCTGAGCCTATCCCCCCCTAACGTTGCCCCTGATCTGCGAGCCACCGCAGCGACGCTCAGAGTTGGACGCCTGGGCGGAGGAGCACAGCACGCCCCCGTGCGAGAGCCACGGAGCGAGGAAGCCGCTCGTCCATGGGCCACCCCTGGGGCTTGCCCGCGCGCAGCACAGCTCCGAGACGGCTCGAGGGCTCACTAGAGAGCCGCTCGATTTGCCAGGCGAGGCAGGCAGAGTAGGCTCCGACACGCGCGGCGAGGACGACGACGACGATGACAACCACGACCCAGCCCTTGCCCCCCCCCTCCCGCCCCCTTCCTCCCCCTCCCCCAATCTCCCCCAATTCTCCCCCACGTCCTCATCCTCCTCCTCATCCTCCTCCTCCTCCTCCTCAGCAGCAGCAGCAGCATCATCCCCCTTCTCCAGCCTCCCTCCCGCCTCCCTCCATCCCTCCAAGCGCCCACCCACCTCCTCCTCCTCCTCCTCCTCCTCCTCCTCCTCCTCCTCCTCCTCCTCCTCCTGCTCCCCCTCCTCCCTCAAGCACGGGTGGTCCAACGCATCGTACCCTTTTGGGCTCGAACTTGCCATGTGGCGCCCAGCCCATTGCCGTCTCGTTGGCGCTTGGGGGGCTCCCACCAAAGAATCAACCGTGTAATGTTCGTCGCATTTCTCGGTGGCTAGTGGCGTTGGATGGCTAGAATAGGCGAACGGAAGTGCAATGTTCAGCAGGTGTATTGTGCTTGCGCAGGGCCGTGGCCAGCCGCATCTTAACAATTCGCGAGCATTGCTTCGTTAACAAAGTATACAGTGGCAGGAGGGACACTCTTACAGGGTAGGTGTTCTCTATTGGTTCTTGAGTGGGCTTCTCCCGAACATCTTGTTCAAGGTCTCATGGCAAGCAGGGCTGTTAGTACGCTCACTTTTGGAGCGTGGCCCACGGCTCTGGCGGCGTGGCACCTCGCACGTGTTGTTATGTGTATTTCATTCGATTTGGGCTGATCTGGTAGTTGCTTTTCGCCGTGTCCTTCCTGTGCAAGTTCCGACTTTACGCATCTACAGGAGGCCGCCTGTGGCATTGCAGTGCATTTCCGCAGAGTCAGTGTTCTGGAGTTGTCCTGTATGCTTATGCTTGGCATTTTGTCACAGCTGCATGGGGATATACTTATTGTGCTCTTTTTAGGCGTTCAAGCTTGGGACATACATCATCCGTTTCAGTGCAAGCATCTCCCATTTCCGCCAGGAGAGGGTATTGTAGTCTGTTTTCTGGTGGCGTGGTGCATTTTGTCGCTGGTAGCAATGGGCGTGCGAGGAGGCTGGCAAGTATTCTCGATTTGCTTGGTCAGCTGGTTTCTAGCGTTTTCAATACCGTGCATAGTGCCAAGTTGTACTGTTAAGTTTGGTGGGATCTGCGTTCGCGGGAGGTTTGGGATGTGTTTTTCGCGATGTGAATGTGGCGCCGCGGTTTCGTACATGCGTAGTCTTTCTGCGTGGGCTCCATGTTTCATCCTGTCAGTTGCGCATGTTTCCGATAATTCAGTGTACGTGCTTGTGGTCATCTTCCCATGCGGACAGGTTCCGAGGGACATTATGTTGTTCGTTTCATCAATAAGGTGAAGGCCTGTCCTGAATTATCGTATCCAATTGGCGGTACAGTGAAATGTTACGTTTCGCCGTTGGGGTGGTGTGTACTGCGTGTAAGTGGGCGCTACGGTTGTTCGTGAAGTTGTTCCTCCAATTCGGGCGCTCTGTGTTCCTTGTCCTCCCGCTGGTTTTCAAGGTCAGGGGGCGTTGCTCGAGCACATTGTTTCGCTACGCGATGACTGTTATCCCTGTAATCCTCATCCTCCTCATCATCATCATCAGCATCATCAGCATCATCATCATAATCAGCATCACTATCATCAGCATCAGCATCAGCATCATCATCAGCATCAGCATAATCACCAGCATCTTCATCATCAGAATCGTCATCATCATCATCATCATCAGCAGCAGCATCGTATCCGTCACCATCGTCGCCACCATCAACAACAACATCAGCAGCAGCACCATCCTAATCGGCCACCTGCTCCTCATCCTCCTCCTCAGCCTCCTCCTCATCCTCGTCATCATCATCGTCATCATCATCAGAAGCAGAGTCCACAGCATCCCCCTCCTCCTCCTTCTCATCCTCCTCCTCCTCATCAGCATCAGCATCAGCCTCAGCCTCAGCCTCAGCCTCAGCATCAGCATCAGCATCAGCATCATCATCATCATCATCATCATCATCATCATCATCATCATCATCAGCATCATCATCATCATCATCATCATCATAATCATCACGATCGGCAGCAGCATCGTCATCATCATCATCACCCTCATCAACAGCATCATCCAGCGAATCATCATCAGCATCACCACCATCATCAGCAGCATCATCAGCAGCAGCATCATAATCAGCGTAATCATCAGCAGCATCATCATAATCATCAGCATCAGCATCATCATCAGCATCAACATCATCATCATCAACATCAGCATCATCATCAACATCAGCATCATCATCATAATCATCGCACCATCATCATCAACATCAGCATCATCATCAGCACCATCGTTATAACTATCATTTGCCAACATCAGTATCATCATCGGCATCAGCAGCATCATCCTCATCATCAGCATGCTCCTGAGAATCATCAGCATCAACATCATCATCATCATCAGCAGCAGCAGCACCACCGTAATCATCATCACCATCAGCATCAGCCTCATCATCACTCATCACCCATCACTCATCACCATCACCACTCATCACCTTTGTCATTGTCTCCATGATCAGCATCATCAGCAGCAGCATCCTAGTCAGCAGCATCAGCATCAACAGCAGCACCAGCACCAGCGTCACCATCAGCATCGTGAGCATCATCAGCAGCATCGTCATCATCATCATCATCATCATCATCAGCATCATCGGCATCAGCATCAGCATCAGCATCATCATCAGCAGCATCATCATCGTCATCATCATCAGCATCAGCACCCTCGTCACCATCGTCCTCATCATCATAGTCAGAATCCTCATCATCATCATCCTCATCATCATCATCGTCATCATCAGTATCCTCATCTTCATCACTAGCATCATCATCATCACCATCATCATCATCATCATCATCATCATCATCGCAACAGCATCGCAACAGCATCGTCCAAATCATCGTCATCAGCACCGTCATCAACAGCAGGAGCGTCAGCATCATGATCATCAGCATCAGCAGCATCTACGTCAGCATCATCAGCGACAGCAGCAGCCGTTTCATTAGCGTCATCATCAGCAGCATCGTCATCGTCAACATCAGCACTATCATCACCATGGAAATCATCACATTCGTCGGCAACAACAACACATTCATCAACATCGCCATCAACATCATCATCACCATCATCAGCATCATCAGTACACTCATCAACATCACCATCATCACCATCATCATCACATCACCACTATCATAAAAATCATCACCGTCGACAAGAATCATAACCATCAACAAAAACGTTGTCAACAGCAGCATTATCACAATCGTCGCCACCATCGTCCGAAACACCATCATCATCATCATCATCATCATCATCATCATCATCATCATCATCATCATCATCATCAACATCATGGCATGGTCAATCTCTTCATCATCCTCGCCTGTCCCATCATCATCATCATCGTCAGCAGCAGCAGCAGTATCGTCATCATCAGCAGCAGCATCATCACGATTATTACCATCATCATGACCATCAACAACACCAGTATCACCATCATCACTATTTTCCTCATCCTCACCATCCTTGTCCTCTTCATCCTTCTCATCATCATCCTCCTCGTCATCAGCATCGTCATCAGCATCATCATTATCATCATCATCGTCATCATCATCGTCATCATCATCATCATCATCCTTCATCAGCCTTCATCCTCCATGACACAACGCAAGGCGGCAGGCTAGCGGGGCCTGGCTGCGATGGCGGCCTCCCGCTGGGGGAGCCCTGCGGGAAGCCGTGGCCTCTCGGGGCTCGCTCGCCGCGGGCCGACGACGATCACCGCGGCCACGGCGGCGACGACGGCCGCCGCGACGACGCCCACGACAAGCGCAACGACGACGGCAAGGGAGACGGCGACGGCGGCGACGACCACGACGACTACCACCGATGCCACGACGGCGTCGTCCTCCGCGTGCATGGGTGGAGGAGGGAAGAAGGACGAAGAAGCAAGCACGCAGGATGGAGGAGGACGACGACGACGACGAGGAGAGAGAGACAGCGGCGACGACGAGGACGACGACGACGGCGGCGGCGGCGGTGACGGCGACAGCGGCGACGACGACGACGACGACGACGGCGGCGGCGGAGGCGGCGGCAACAACGCCGACGGGGTGAAGAACAGCGGCCACGGCGGCGACGGCGACGACGACGGCGACGACGCTGGCGGCCCGAGGGCCTTGCCACTGCCCGCCGCTGGGAGTGCCCGCCTGGGACGCCGAGCTCCAGGGGCCGCCGGGCTGCTGGGCCTGGTGCTGCTGGAAGTCCTGCGGCGCTGGGCGGCGGCGGCTGCAGCGAGGAGGACGAAAGAAACACGAGGAGGAGCGAGGAGGGCGGGGCATGGAGGGGGGAAAGGATTGGATCGTTCACGTCAGCAGAGCAAATCTGAAATCCGAAGAAGGGGCCTCAGGAACTGGGACCCCCCCAAAACCCCTCCCCCTCTAGCACCCCCTCCCCGAACCGGGAGGCCTGCACCCCCCGCCCCCGCGCACGGAGGGATGGGGGGTAACGAAACCCTCCCGCTGCCGCCAACGCCGCCGCCGCGGCCGCCGCCGCCGCCGCCGTCGTCGTCGTCGTCGTCGTCGTCGTCGTCGTCGTCACTACGGGCCAGACTGGAATCCAAATTTAGGCTACATCCACCGCGGGCCAGAGCCAGACCCCAATCAGGTCACGTCCACCAGCGCCACCGTCGTCGCCGACGCCGCCGTCGTCGTCGCCGTTGCCGTGGTCACCGTCGTTGACGTCATCTTCGTCGTCGTCGTCGTCGTCGTCGTCGTCGTCGCCACCACGGGCCAGACCAGAATCCCAAGTAGGTCCATCCACCGCGGGACAGAGCTAGACCCCAATTAGATCACATCCACCACCACCGCCACCGCCGTCGCCGCCGCCACCGTCGCCGCCGCCACCGTCGCCGACGTCGCCGCCACCGTCGCCGCCGTCGCCGCCGTCGTTACCGTCATCGTCGTGGTCGTCGACGTCGTCGTCGTCGCCACCACGGGCCTGACCAGAATCCCATTTAGGTCACACGCACCACGGGCCAGAGCCAGACCACAATTAGGTCGGTCACGTCCACCCCCGCCGTCACCGCCGCCACCGTCGTCGACGCCGTCGTCCTCGTCGTCTCCGTCCCAGTCGTCGTGGTCGCCGTCGTGGTCGCAGTCGTTGTCGCCGTTGTCGCCGTCGTCGTGGTCGTCGAGGTCGTCGCCGTCGCCTTGTGAGGGGGGGTTCTGGACCCCATCCAATAATTTGCTGAGGGGGTGCGGGTCCGGACCCCAGCCCACCCCTTGTGTTGGGGATAAGGGGGAGGTCGAAACTTCCCCTGCCCCCCTGCCGGCAGCGTCAGAAAGCGATCTTTCGGATACCAGCTGGCAGCAGCATGTCAAACCAGCCGCATTCACAGGCCGCCGCCGCTGGCTGAGTAAACGTTACCAGCAAGACACTCTCGTCTAAGAAGGGGGGGAGGAGGAAGAGGGGGGGAGAGGGGGGGAGAGGGGGGGAGAGGAAGGGAGGATGGAGGAGGGAGGAGGGAGAGAGAGGAAGGCTGAGGAAGGAGGAAGGAGGCGGACGAATAACGAGAATAAAACCAAAATGCATCAACGATGCTGCAATAGACCCTCCCGTCACAAGTCCCCAGCTCACAAGCCTCTGCAAGCCTCCCTCTTCACAACAAGTATTCTACTCAACGTTCAGCCACATAGGCGCTTCCGAAAGGGCAGGGGGCGGCGGTGACTCGCCGTAGGCGTCTTCGATCCGCCGCCCCCTGTTGGCTTACCACAAGGGTGCCCAGCATGCTGGATCCTTTCGGATTTGGTTTTAGTTCCCTTTCCAGAAAAACTCTCCCGTGGGGCTCTGGCCCAGCCCGCCGGCCATCCTGAAGAGCGCACAAAGCCGCACAAAGCCCGGAAACGAGCTCAACGTCCCCAAAAAAATCCCCGGGTCAATGCCTTTCCTGCTCCAAGATGGCCCTCGATGGCCTCCCAGACGGCTCAGATGGCCCAAGGTGGTTCGGCCTAGGAGGGTCCAAGATGCCTCCAAGTCGGCCCAAGATGCCTCCAAGACGGCCCAAGACGAGGCCTCCCGGAGGTCCTCCAGGAAGGCCTGAAGAGGTCAAAATCATTGGTTTGTGCTGGGTTTTTGAAGGATTTTGACATTTGCTTGTTTTCCGCTTTCCGACGGCCCGAGACGGCCCAAGAGCCCCCACAGATCGCTCCAAGATCGCCCATGAGGCCTCCAAGATGGCCCCAGAACGGCCCAAGAGAATCCCAAGACCGCCCCAGGAGGGCCCAAAGACGGCCCAAGAGGTCTCCAAGACGTCCAAGATGGCCTCCAAGACGGCCCTGGAGCACCCCAAGAGGGCCCCAAGTCGGCCCAGAGAGGCCCCAAGACAGCGTCCGACGGCGTCCGACGGGCCAGGAGCTCACCAGGACAGCCCACGATGGTCCTAAGATGGCCCGAGACGGCCCTAGAGGCCCCGAAGAGGTCTCCATGACGGTCCGAGAGGCCTCCAAGAGGGCCTCCAGGAAGGCTTGAAGAGGTCAAAATTATTGAGTTGTTTTAGATTGTTGAAAAGCTTGGGCATTTGCTTCTTTTCGGCCTTCCGACGGCGCGAGACGGCCCAAGAGCCCCGAAAGCTCGCCCGAAAGGCCTCCAGGATGGCCCCAGAACGACCCAAAAAGGCGCCCAAGACGGCCCCAAGAGGGTTCTAAGACTGCCCAAGGGGCCTCCAAGACGCCCAATTTGGCCTAAGACTGCCCTGGAGCACCACAAGAAGGTTCCAAGTCGGCCCAGAGAGGCCCCCAGACGGCTTCCGACGGCGTCCGACGGGCCAAGAGCCCACCAAGACAGCCCAAAATGGCTCTAAGATGGCCCAAGACAGCCCAAAATCCCCCTAAGAGGTCCCCAAGACTGCCCAAGAGGCCTCCAAGAGGGCCTCCAGGAAGGCTCGAAGAGACCAAAATCATTGATTTTTCGTATGTTTTTGACTGATATTATCATTTGCGCCTTTTCGGCCTTCAGACGCCCCAAGACCGTCCAAGATACCCGAAAGATTGCCCAAGAGGCCTCCAGGATGGCCCCAGAACGGCCAGAACGGCTGGATACTGCGGCCACGCTGTGCGCAAACGTTTGGCCACATAGGCGTATCCTAGAAGGCAAGGGACGGCGGTGATTCGCCGTAGGCGTCTTCGGTAACTTCCACAGCCGCCCTCCATCTTTGTGACTCTTCTTGGAACTTTCAGGCCTTGAAAGCACAAACTGTGAAGAGGTCTCATGAGACAAGGGACAGGGATGGCAGAGGGCAGGGCGAAGGCGGCGGCCTCCTCAGAAGGGCCCCTCCCCGGCGGAGGGCGACCAGAAGCAACCACGGCGGCGGCGGCAGCCGCGGCCGAGCGCGGCAGGCGCGGCAGGCGAGGCAGGCGTGGCCGGCTGCGGCGGCGGCGGCCGCCCCGGCCGCGCGCAGCCGAGGGCGGCCAAAGGCCAAGCTCCTGCATCGGAGGTGGCGGCCCTCGCTGCCCGGGCGGCGGCGTCGCCTGGACGCGCTGCCCTGGCGGCGGGCGACCAGCGACGACCGGCGACGATCGACGACGATGACGAAAACGATCGACGACGATGAATCGACCAGGACAATCGACGGCGATCAGCGACAACTGGCGACGAGTCCAGGACAACGACTGACGAATGGATGACGAATGACGAATCGACGGCAACGGCACGGCAACGGCCGCGGCGACGGCGACGGCGTCGGAGACAGCGGCATCGGCGAGGGCGAAGACGGCGGCAACGATGACGACTGAGACACGACGATCAACAATCGACGATCAACGATCGACGCGGCTGCCAGATGCCACTGCCATGCAAGGCTGCGAGTCTGCGTGCTCAGCGCAGGCAACTACTAGCCCCATTGCGCACAACTGCGTCGCACAATGCGTCACGACTCCGAACATAGCTTGGAACTTGCATGGCTGAATATGCAGCTGTACGACGCTGTTCGATCTCGGCAGCTACACGAAGCTGGCTCGGCGAGCAAACCAACCTGGACCAGCGTAGAGAAACTCGGGCTATGGACCGCGCCGCATCGCCGATGCATCTGCTCTGGCCCCACTTGGGCGGCCTGGAGATCTGGACCAGTAGGGCTTCGTCGCCGGGGGTTCACTCGGCTCGCGCCCGCTCGCAGTTAGTGGGCCCCCGCCAGTGCACCAGGGCTGCTCTCGCGTCGACCGCAAAAACAGCCGGGGCGCCCGCTGGGCAACTGGAGTCACAACGATGACAGGGAACGAAGATGATGGTCGTGTTTTCGTGGAACTACCATGGCCGCCAATTTGAGGAGCACCGAGGCAGTCCAAGGAACAGGGACGTCCAATCGACGTGCTGCTCCCGTTGCGCCAGTGAGAACGGCTCAAGATCACGTCAATCCGCTGGCCCAAGGGGCCAACGGCGTGCTAGGATCTCTGGCGGGAGGTTATCAATCATGATTTTGGGGTCCCGAAGCGGTGCGGTGACAGACCGTGCGGTGACCTCGAAATCCCCCAAGACCTCACCGCACGGTCCGTTACCGCACGGTGTTGGGACCTCGGATGCCCCAATCGCCCGAGACATCCTCGGAGAACGACCCGAGTCCCAAAACCGTTCCGTCACCCCGAATCCCCACCGACTCAGCACACGGTGCGGCCACCGCACCGTCTGCTCCTCCTCCATCTCCTACTCCTCCTCCCATTACTCCTCCTCCTCCTCCTCCTCCTCCTCCTCCTCATCCTCTGCCTCCTCCTCCTCTTCCTCCTCCTCCTCCTCCTTCTCCCCCCTTCCCCCTCCCTCCATCCCTCCCTCAATCCCTCCTCCTCGTCCTCCTCCTCCTCGTCCTCCTCCTCCTCCTTCTCATCCTCCTTCTCCTCCTCCTCCCTCATCCTTCCTCGATCCTCCTCGATCCTCTAAATCTCGGGGATGGGCGGCGCTCGGCGCCTGCGGCAGGTGGAGCGGAGTGCGCCG